TTTCGTTTATTATTTAATATAAGCTTCGCAATAACCCGAATATTCCGAGAACTAAGCCTTCGTTAGATAAAATTATCGTGAATTATGGACGATGTATATAGCTTTAGTCTTAGAGTAAATTGCTACAACGTTAATAAGCAACTTGCTGATTCCCGCGACTTTGGTTTCATTTATTGGCTTCCCAAACAAAATATCATCTTCTTTTTCACCCCTTAAGAGCAGATACGAGAGGAGAGACCTTTGAGAAATAAGTACCTACTTGAAAAAACTATTGCTGTCACGCATTGGCAAATACCGTGCGATAGAGGCAACAGTAGTTAACGCTGAAAATTGCGTATAAAAAATGCATAATTCGAGATTTGACTAGCGATGATTTTCTCCGTGAAAGTTAGATATATGTAAAATAAAGGACAATGCCAGAAGTTCTATAGAGGTTTAACCCACCCGATAAATTGTTGTACACGAATGCGATAAATGACATTTGAAAGCTTTAATATTAGGAATCAAAATAGTAAAATTGTATATTCTCTAGAAGTTGGGGTTATTGAATAATATACTAACAAAGAGTACAATTATCATACGTTTCTCGAGCTATAATTGAGCAGAAAATTGGAATTGCTATAAATTATTTATTAGGCACTTTCTTAACTTTAAAAAATAGGTAGTTTCTAGGTACCTATTCGTCTGTTTTTCGATTGTTATCAGTCTGTGAGGGTTTCCGAGTTTATTCATTACAGGTAAACATTCAAATCGTTCTCTTCATAGCTTGAATAATTGTAGTAATAACGAATATGAAATATATATATTCTCTACATATTGTACATACAAGCAACAATGTGTCCCTTTTTGGAATCTTCTAGATCTAGTTAAACCTCTAGCTAACAAATAGAGCCATAGTGAAGTACTGTATAACGCGACTATTCTTGTAATAGTGTATTATTATTACTAATACTTTGCTTGCGCTTAAGATCAGCGGTTATACATTTGTCATCGTTTAAAAAATAAAACACTCATTTTAACTTTCTATCATTTTCTCATCTACTGATATCAATATATTAACTAAGAACGCTGCGGGTATATCTATTCAAAAGGGCCCGCATTGTAGCTGATAGTGTACAAACGACATGCCTTCGCATTCTATCTATACATAAATAACCATTTTTGCATCTCAAAATGGTTCCAAACCACAAACAATAAATCGGTATCCTAAAAACAAAGCCACAAGGTCGTATAAAAGGCGTCATCGAGTCCGTATTCAAAAGCAAAAGTAGTTATTTTCCATAACACCCGATTCGTCTTCGTTTCATTTCGTTTCACTTTGTCGCACCGCACCACAGTCATAAGAAAAGGAAATATCAAACAAAAGAATATTAATCCCGGCCTTTAGTTTCACATAGGTACTACCACATAATAATGTGTATGTGCATAAAAAATAAAAGGTACTACAATTGCTAAAATTATTTATAAACATAAATTTTATAAACTTATTTATAAAAATAAACGAAATGCGTATGAGATGCATAATGTTAAAAAATATATTTTTAGAAAACTTAATTGATATTTTATTGTTTGTCGTGCAACAAAACGCATATGCCATGTTTTCGTTTTTCTCCTAACGGAAACAGTAGGTACACATTATTTTAATATTTATTTTGTGTCCGCAAGTTTTACAAAATAATAATTAAATCAGCACGAGAAATAAAATCGTATATATTTTTTCATAAATTTAATATTACTCTCAGTGGTGGGTCAGAATCTGGTATTGTCATTTTACACAAAGAATAATAAGTAATTATTGCCTCTATGTTTTGTTTTTTTTTTGCTTATTAAATATTAACAATATACGTCTTCAGTGGTGATACAAATTTGTTTAGTTTTGGCCTTTTTCGAGTGCTTCTAGTTTCTTTGAAACATAAGTTATCGAAAAAAGGAAGGCATTTTATTTATTTTTTATACCAATACAAGATAACAAGATACAAGCTTCGGCGATAATTAGATGCTATCTTAATTAAAGGTCACCACCGCATGCATTACAAAACAAGGCAATGGACATTATTCTGCATAATCTTAAGTGACAACAATGAGAAAAAAAATAACACAAATATACCGCACAATACAAATAAAAATATTTAATTTACAAACAAGTATACTAATGTCCTATTTCATGTATTGAAATTATGGCAATCTATAATAATCAAAAAGACGACAGCAATATTATCATATTTATCACAAAATTTGAAAATATTTTTATAGGAATACAATTACAACATAACAAATGTGGAGACGAGAACCGAAGATTCAGGAAGATTTCATGAGTTTATTTACTTTATGTTTAAAAGAAATAGAACTACTACCAAAAATGTCCAGACTATTGTCCAATTTAACCATACCCTTATAAGACCTACACATTCGATTTAGAGATCTATTTATAAATATGATAAACAAATAGTGAGCGGAGGGTCGCCCGAGCTTAAAAGGTGCACTAAAACTTATCTTTGAAATCAAAGATGGACAGTCAACTCTGTTATTTACAATATTATATAAAAGCATGTGATCCAATAGTTGCCTTCTGTCACTCAACTTGCTCATCCTGAAATGGTGCAGCCGTTCCTTATAACTAGGCAATTTTTTAACAAGATAATGCTGGAAAGACAAATGCCACAAGACGCGTTTTTGGACTTGTTCTGTTCGTTTTGAGTACACATCGTAACGCGGATTTCACACTGGCCAGCAATATTCCAGGTGACTACGCACAATTGCGTTGTATATATAGATTTTGGTTTCATGATTTTTGTAGTCCCTGCAATTACGTATTTTGAAACCAAGAGACTTAAAACAGCGAGTTAGTACATGATCAATATGGGGATGAAAACGCAGCTTGCCATCGAGAATAACGCCCAAATCTCGAACACTATCAGTACGGGTTAAATATTTATAATGCCACAAGAAGCCTTGAGCTCCGAAGACCAGTCTACCTTAGAAAGTTCTGTTCTAATTAAATCATAATTAACTTTGAATTTTTTTTTCTAGATGATTTATTATTTTTTATAGATTCAAAATTCGGAGCATTTAGGTCAATCTGTAACGCCGGATGATGCCCATCGACAGAAACCAGGGGATCATCACACACTGTTCCTTGGCTGCCCTGCTAGTAAGAACAAGATCCAGTATTTTACCACAGCCGTTTAAGACGCCATTAAATTGATTTAGATTATTCACTTTAACAAGGTCCAGCAGAGAATAAGAGACTCTCGCCGAACCAGTGACCGAATGAGGGACATCTACGTCAGAAGACCAGTTGATGTTGCTCAAGTTAAGGTCACCAACAATAAGAACTTAAGAACACAACTCAAGTACTCGATAAGTATTGTCTAAGAAACAATCCAATATGCCACATCGTACTGGGGTAGGTAAATAAACACAACATAGAAACATTTTTATAATGGACTCACGTTGCCCAGATAACTTAACACCAACCCACACATCTTCAAACTCATTATCAGATTTGAGGGTATTCAGAATATATCAGATCTGTAGTTACTAAGAAAATACACTTAGCGTTGATTTTACAGGTGTTCAGGATCTTGATAACAGTGGGGCAGCCAAGAGTATTGCGTTTATCCTTTACAGCGTGTTCAGATTTCACCTTTAATGTTAAAATGATCCCATTTCGTGTTACTAAATTCACAGTCACTAAATTTCCTAAGTTCACACTAAGTATTTCCAGTGAATAATACTTGTACTTCTTATTTAAGACTTTCCGATTATTATATTTACTTTCTCAAAATCGTAATAAAGGAATATAATTTGAGCAGAAAATTTCACAGTCAATGTTTATGTTCCTTTTTTGATGGGTGCATAGAATGAGTTAAATTATATTAGATGTATGAAAATCAATTCTTTAGTGATAAAAATCAAGAAGGAATCAGTCGAGAACTGAGGTATGGAAAAATCATTGCCCGCCTTCCCTCTTAAAAGTTATAAATTATTTTCGTGCAGTATGGTTACATATAGTTCAAATATATAATAAAAATATTTAACCATCTTTCACTAACTCGTAACTTTATTCCTCTAATCGAAAATAATTGTATAGGATTAGGTGAGGTACCTAAGGCGGATTTCTGTGTTTACATACAACATAGTTTCAGTGCTTAAGCCGGCGATATAATATACTAGTACATATATGCTAATACCCTGTACTGGGTAAGCAATGGTAAATATATGCGAATGTGACCCAATGTAGATACTGGGTCAGGAGTTATGGCTCTGTTGATCCGAGTAGCGCTCCTTCGATGATAAACGTTCGAATCTGCAGGCCATAGAAATGTCATCTAGAACCGTTTAATGGTTCATATTCATGGTTATTTGAAAGTAATATTTGCCTTCGTTTCTATTGATTTAATAGGAATTTTATTTTCAGTTTTGGTAATGTGTTGTTTATAAATGTTTAGTGAAACCTTGGTGTCCATTTCTATTTCATGATTAAATTGATACCTAAATTTTAACAAATGTATCCTCTTCTTCTTAAATAATAAATCCAAACATTTTGACGGTTGCAACTTATGTAGATAATCACGAATATTCAGAAGAATAATTGAGAATTTTAGAACATAGTAGTTAGAACAAAACCAAGAATTTTCTGGTAATAATATATAGTATAAAGTGTGTATATCCAATGATGTAGTCATGCAGGCACGCGAACATACTGGTATTCCTTTTGTTTTTTTTTTAATCTTACATTAAAAGAAACTGCTATGCTATTCTGTACGAACAAACTCACTTTTTACCGCGGAATCCGTGTGTGATTTGAAACAAGAATACAAGTTAGAAAATGAATTCCAAATCCCACCTCGGATTCCACCTCGGACTGCTGGTGACATTTCGTTAACATCAAGAATTATCCAATTTAGTGTTTGAGAAGTCAAGCATACATTTCGCCGATACATTTTCATTTATAGAGATTAGTGCAAAATTAATCAAATAATTTTGGTTTGTTCCAGATGTCACATCAGCGAATGTTCCCACATCGAAAATACCAGTTTGTGGCTCAGTAATGCCATACCGTTAGTTAAAAATGAATTTTCCAAGTGCACAAGGTACCCTTTGAGACAAAACATAATGAGTGACAATATTACATGTAGTATAGATCAGTTCGAGGTGTCGAAGGAAGAAAAATGCAAATCGTATGATTATCTTGAGGACTATTCGATTGTAAATGATGTAAGTAACAATGCCTTGGTACCTATTTTCGGCAAAGCTTCAAAGGTATGTCAATATGAAAAAGAAAAATTAAAGAAATTTTTACTACGAAAAAATCCAAGGTTAAGATTTCAGGAGGGGTTAGCAACCCGCATCTTACGCTATCCGGGCGGAAGACCTACAATGCGAAAAGATGGCGCTCCTTTGCAGCCTAAGAAATACTAGAGAAAATTTGACACGACCATTAATTATTGCTTCGGCTAGAAAAGTGGAAGACATTTAAACATTAGTTAATTGCCTTAGAAAAATATATATGTATATATTAAAGCAAAAATTTATTTATATTTTAGTTGAATGAGAAGCTCGTTGCAGATTTTAGCAAGGACTTATATTGAAGACGTCCGTTGTGTTTACTCAGATAGAATAACAGCGATAACAAATAATTAACGCAATAGCTTAGTATATCAGTTACAACCACAGTTTACAACACATTCCTTAATAACAACATGAATATAACTACTTACGACATACAGTAAAGATAATATGCGTACACAATCGGTTTTCCTTTCAACGTTATTTTATCTATAAACCAACTGGAATTTATCTTATTTGGAATTTTTATTTGGTATGTAGCTACCGAGGAGCTCGATGGCGCAAGTGGTAAGCGGGCGTTCGGCTGCGTTCGTTGAAGTTAAGCAACTTTCGCAGTGGTCGGTCTTTAGATGGGTGACAATTGAAAAATTTACTATCTGAAGCTCCTCTGTGCTTCGGAAGGCACGTTAAACCATTGGTCCCAGCTGCATCTGCAGTCGTTAGCACCTACCAATCCGCATTGGGCCCGCGCGGTGGGTCATAGCCCAATCTCCGTATTCCGTCCATAGAGAAGGCCTGTGCCCCAGCAGTGGGGACATTAATAGGCTGATGAAGATGATGATGATGTAGCTACCGCGTGAAATCGCTAGAAAATACAAATTCTTCGAAAAGCATAAACCTAATTTACATTGCAACAAGCTCGCGGTAGTTGTTTGTGACGTCAAAATTTATATTGTTATCAATGACGCGTTATTTGGAATCGAATTTAATGAATGAATGAATTGTACCTGTTTCATTCAAAGCTCAGCAAATCGGTGTTGTGTATAGAAAAAGAAAAAGTCTGCAGTATTTTGTTTCTGCACGGCGAATCTGTAAAATAAAATCTCGCTATATCTGTAGAAGCAGCCAGTATTTTAGATATTTGATATTTGTCAGAAATCTGAATAAACGAGATCGTAACTAAAATTGCATCTTACATAATACCTATGCAGTTCATCTAATTACAATTTTCATTCCAGTGATGTTTACAAAACACTGCGTTACACTAGTCTGAGCTTATATTAGGACAATTTTAATGGAAATTCCGTAAATGGAATGCTCTGCCCGCTCACGTGTTCCCTCCCTCTTACAACCTGGGATCCTTTAAAAGAGGCGTGAAGAAGAACATGCAGGCCGGCAGGGTGAGGATGGCTGGTGTGGCAGGTAGAACTGCTGTATCAGCTATATTCGCGTCTGGACTTCACCTTCACTTAACATCAGGTGGGGTGGAGCCATTTGTCGAACCTATCTATAAAAAAAAAATAAAAAAAATTAGAGCCTGTGTATTATCTGATTATGTTGACGATAATTTGGATTAATATAAACGCACTTTCCATATATCAATCTCACTATGTCGATAATATTCAAAGCAATAAATTCACCATCAATTGATATTTATTAGAGTATGAAAGGGGAACGGACCTCTTCCCTCGGGAACTCCGTCGTCGGGAAAGCGATTGGAATGCGCACCCCGATTCCGAGATATTCCAAGAATTCTACAGATTCCGGTCAAACAATTACGGAAATCAAGTTCATTGCGAAGGAGTAATTTATAACTGCCTTTTGCGATGTGCGATTCGCCAACGAGGGTGCGATTCGCCAACAAGGCAATTGGAAATATTTGCTTTTCTAAAAGTTTTCCGTATACACCTTGTCGTGGCAGTAACTAAAACGAAAAATAAATAATAGCCTCATCACATTGGTCAGTCCAGCCATTCATGAGTGATTGAATTTCTTCCGTTTAATTCATGTGGCATTGAATTTTAATTTTATAAACTTTCTTGGACTCAAGCTAAATTAACAATTAAAGTTAACTTTGTACTGTTATTTCACTTGTCTTCCTTTCTCTTGATATATTGATAGGTCTATAATAAATATTATGGGTGTAATTAATTGACCAAAAATGTTTTAATAACATGATGTTGTGTCATCAATTGACAGATAATAAACCACGAAGTACTTGGTTATTGAAAATAACCCTAATTCATTTTATGTCACAGGGTTACATTTTATGTCAAAAAAATGTAACTAATGCCCATAATAGATGTACCGACATATCAGTCAAGTTGCTACTAAACGAACACGACTTTTAATTACGAAATAAATACAACAAGGAGTCTATAAAATGTGACCCAAAACTTGTCGCTTCGCTTTTGATATTGATAATATTCTGCATTTATATTCATTATAGTGTGGGTGTGCTATAAATACTAGAACTATAGATAATAAAACGCGATATTTACGAGTGCCGGCGCACGCGCAGCTCACGTGCTCCTCCAAACATGTACGATAAAGATGTCATTAACCCTATGAGCCCCAATCGCACAATAAATTGTACATTTATTATAGAAAACTAGCTGACCCAGCGAACTTCGTAGCGCCATAAAAAAATAGGGTTTGGTGGTAGAAAGTTGAAAATTTAGGGATGTATGTTTTTGATGATGGTGATGTATCATAAAAAAATTAAAAAAAAAATATCTAAAATGAAAAAAAAATTTAGAGGCGGATTACCTTTAACATTTGGGCGGATGAAAAATAGATGTTGTCTGATTCTCAGACCTACCCAATATGCACACAAAATTTTATGAGAATCGGGAAAGCCGTTTCGGAGGAGTTTAACCACAAACACCGCGACACGAGAATTTTATATATTAGATTAATCTTAATCACTACATGGTATAAAGCAAATTCGCTTCCCGCTGTCTGTCACTATGTCCCTAGTTTTAAAGATCTAAGCATGATCTTTAAAAGAACGCAACGGATTTTGATGCGGTTTTTAAATAGATAGAGTGATTTAAAAGGACGGTTTATATGTATAATACATGCATAATATAGTAGAGACACACTGACAATTTTAGAGGTTTTTAATGTAAGGTCGTAAATAAACACATTTTTATGCGCTTACATTGCAAACGGTGGGTGAACCTACGAGATAGATCAAAATAATGTAGTACAGTATTGTACACCTTAAAAGGTCTACAAAAAGTCCACGATGGTATATGTCTATCTCTTAGGGCTAACCCACAATAACCTTTTATTATTCTATACTTTTTACGAGAAATAATAGCTTATTTACGAAGCAATATAACATTCATCCTTAACCAATTAAGTACCTTAAATACATTGTGTATTTAATACAGATCAATGTGGCTCTTTAAAGCATGTAGTTTAAATGAATATTTTCGAAGATATTACAGATTTTAAAATGCAGGGACATAGCGATTCCGACTACCGGGCGGCGGGCCTGGCGGCGGGCCTGGCGGCGCGTGCCTATTGTAATTAGGTATAAGAAGAATGTCATACAAGGCTTAGAACAAAAACTATAGTCTACACTTCAGCTCTACAACAAAGCGAAGCGAGGGCGGGCCACTAGTACAATATAATATGTTCCTGATTCAATATACATAAGGTCCAGTTGCAACAAATTCTTAATTCGAATTAAGGCTTAATCGTGTTTAACACATCATTACACCTTTGTCAATTGTTTAAAGTCACAATTATAGAGTTAGAATGAGCGTTAAACATGATTAGCTTTTAAATTTGAAGTAAGAACCTTGGTGCAAGTGGTCCTTGATGTGTTCTTTTTCTTATAATAAATTTATGGGCGTGATAAAAAACAAAAGAAATACATAGTGTGAGAAAAAATTAAACTAATTATTAACATACTGTAGCCTCTCGGAGTGACCTAGAAACCAAAGGAGCTCTCCCAAATATTCACATAAATACACTTTAACAGCATTGTTGAAGCACTGTGTAAACCAAAAGCACCTTCTGGTTTACACAATGCCAAGCTTTTTCTTCATTGGAAGAGACGATAAAATACTTAGCTCTATATAAAAAAGGTGTTAATTATAAGCTACTGCTCAAGCATGCAGTTATTGATTGAGCGTCTTACAATGGCCGCAATAGATATTTCAATTTAGAAAAAAAACAATTCCCCTTGCTCTCTGGCAACAGTCTGTCTTGCAAGGGCATAGAGGTCTCTGGATCCCTTTGGAGCCATAATTTCAAAAGAAAAAAATAAATGAAAGCACTCTAAATATTTTTCCACTTGGGCATTGGGTTACGCACGCTCATAAATAAATTAGTCAAACTACTCGCTCTAGGCAATTATTAGTGAAATTACACCTGAAGTAAAAGAAATATGTAAAATGTTTTATTTATACGTCATTTATAAACTTTAATCAGGTCTGCATCTGAAAATCAGTGCACAGGATACGGTATAAGGACAGGGTAGCAAATGCGCGAGTTTTAACCTGGCATCGCAAGCGTCTTGATCGTCTACCATAGATAGGGAAGTCATATGTTTTTTTGCCACCATTTTTATTTAAAAAAAACACGAATACTTATATCTCTATCGTGGTGCTGATATTGCATCATTGATGTTGTACCAACGCAGTTTGATTAAATTGTGTCTTAATTTTCAGTTCGACTTGGGCTGTCAAAACTGGAAGAGGACTCTGGTCGGAACGATCCATAATGCTGGACTTTTCGTCTCCTTGCCTCTGACGGGAGTATTGTCAGACAGGTTTGGTAGAAAAACCGCCCTGGCAGTAGCATCTATGATGAACGGCATATTCGGACTGATAAGGTCTTTCTCCGTGAACTATGAAATGCTTCTGGTCTTCGAATTCTTGGAGACAGCACTTGGAGCTGGAGCCTACAGTACAGCGTTTGTATTAGGTAAGAGAACTGTTGATTTATGAAATAATTAAGGGATAGTTAAGTAATCTGTTTGTGTTCGAAGAAAGACAATATTCATCTTTTACTATAATTTACCATAAAAAACTGTGTCAAAGACGTTAGGTAATCTTTATGACCCAGAAGATAAACGTGTATATATATTGAAAGACTTAATTTCAAATTCTGCTCAAACATATTACAAACAGTATCAATTATTAAATTTAGGTACCTTTGAAACATTTTTATTGTACCAAATTTAGTTATATGATTAAATTACTGTAAATAATGATGGCCAACATCCAAATCTAGTCGCCACTGAAGTCCCGTAAAAATGCAAGAATTTAAGCAACCCATTTAAGAAGTATGTTATTCAATGTATTGTGTACGAAAACATAAGAAACAAGTTAGTAATTTGATTTGTTTATCTTTTAGCTATTGAGCTGGTGGGACCTAAAGGCCGAGTGTTTGGCAATACTATCATAAATGTAGTCTACGTGTGTGGTCTCATGACACTATCAGCTTTGGCGTGGCAACTACAGAATTGGAGGACCCTCTTGCAGATAGTCTACACACCCGCCTTATTTGTTTTTTCTTACCTCTGGATTTTAAATGAAAGCGTCAGGTGGCTGCTTAGCAAAGGGAAATCAGTTGAAGCTGTCCAAATACTCAGAGGTGCAGCTAAAATGAACAAAGTGCAATTATCAGAAGGACTATTAGCCCCTTTGCTTGAAGTAGAAAAAGTCCCTCTTGATGATAAAGAGGAAAATGAAATTCCACATACACCCAAATCGACGTTAGCGCAAGCCGTTAGATCGTCAATTATATTGAAACGTGTGGTTGTGTGTTCATTCCTGTGGATTACATGTACTTTTGTTTATTATGGACTTTCGATAAATTCGGTGTCGCTAGCTGGTAATAAGTATGTGAATTTTATGCTCGTGGGTTTTGTTGAAATACCCGCAAACTTTGTGTGCCTCCTGGTGTTGGACAAGTTTGGGAGAAAAAGGACCTTAATCATCACCTATGTTTTGAGTGCGTGCCTGTGTATCAGTCTGTCGTTTGTGCCAAACGGTAAGTTTACTTATTACTTCAATTATCTTAAGTATAAACAGCCGACTGATGCACAAAATATGGATAATCGAGTAGTATTAGTGTGTACATTAAAAACTGCTGACTGAATGTGGCTGGCAGTATTAATTTCAAATTGTTTACAATATTCTTTACAACATACGTACGAATTAGTTCTCAGACTGTAAGTAAAGTGAGTAAAACTTTTACGTGCCTGTGCCACCTGATACTTGGAAATTGGCCCACAGTACAAGTTAGCAAGTTTGTATACGTTCATTGTACACACTAATACTACTCAATTATCCATATTATGTTCACGAGAAAATAGGTTAGGTCTGGAGGTCTTTAGATCTTGTACTATATGATATTCACTGATAACTTAAATTAAATATAAAATCCTTATAATAAACGAATATCTTGGGAATTAGAAATTAACAATAAGGTGAGGTAGTGGTGATTATGTAGAATTAGTGATGATGAGGTAAGAAGATTGCGGCACGGTAATGTAAGATAACAATTTCACATCAACCCAACGTACAGAAAGCGATTGCTTTCATAAATAAGAGGTAGCTAATTATACGATTTTCTTGTATCCTTTATTCCGTTCTCATTTTGAGACTGACTTAATTGCTCTGCTTGATTATTTCGCATTACGATCTAACATAGAACATGTAATAAATTGTTACTAGAATGAAGACATTGACATTTAATTACGCTATTATTAATTTCCAGAAATAAATTAGGATTAAATTTTGAATACTAATTGATACTAATGGTTGAGTCTACAGTCTACATCAAAGTGCTTATATACACTGTTTAACTTGCCAGACGGCTTTAATAAATTCAATAATGAGGTTTATTTTAACCCATTTAATAGTCAACATATTATTTTTATGTTCTTTAACTTAATTAAATTTTATATTTCTACATTCATTAAGCCCTAAAATTATCATCAACATCATCATCAGTCTATTAATGTCGCCACTGCTGCAGCTCAAGCCTTCCCTATGGATGGAATAGGGAGATTAGGCCATGACCTAATTAGCAAACCTCGTGCGGATTAGTGAGTGCTAACGACTGCAGATGCAGCTGAGATCAACAGCTTAGCGTGCCTTGCGAAGCACGAAGGATCTCGAGGTAATAAGTTTATGGTAACCCATCCGAGGACCGATCATTGCGAAAGAAGCTAAACTTCCACGATCGCAAGCCAAACGTGCTGTCCACCTGCACCATCGAGCTTTTCATTATAGCTTTAGGGTCTCAAAAATATTATCCTATACTACTTTAACATAATGCGATATAAATTAAATGTTTATGTAAATTTTAGAATAAAAACAATAACTAAGTACATAATGTGTTCTCAATCTTAGTATCATCACTATGCTATATAAAACTGTTAACATAAAAAATTGCCCTAAAATTATATAAAAGGATTATTAGGGCATGATAATCTATAACAGAGTTGAGAACTTTATTTGTTTGTTACTTATCCTTCAATTATTATCTGAGTTTTCCAAATAACCATTTTTTATTAATCATCATGACCGGACCTTTGTCTAGTAAAATATCCAGGCGGTCTCGGTATCAGACAGGATGTCCTGTCTGAAGCCTGGACCGAGCAGAATTTACTCAAGTGAAATTTTCTTTACATTTATATATTTATCAGTCATTCATATTTTTACTATTTCGCCTGTCAACAGATCAGAAATGGTGCTCTCTAGTGATCTACCTCTCTGGGAAGTTCTCAATCACAGTAGCGTACAGCTCCGTGTACATTTACGTTTCGGAGGTATTCCCGACCAGCGTGAGGCAGTCTCTGCTGGCCGTCTGCTCCTCACTGGGCAGGGTCGGCTCGACTTTAGCGCCTCTGACACCACTGTTGGTATGTACGACATGATATAAGACCTCTTTACAGGAAAGAAAACCTTTCAACAGATCAGAAGTGGTGCTCTCTAGTGATCTACCTCTCTGGGAAGTTCTCAATCACAGTAGCGTACAGCTCCGTGTACATCTATTTGTCGGAGGTGTTCCCAACCAGCGTGAGGCAGGCTCTGCTGCCCGTCTGCTCCTCATTGGGCATGATCGGCTCAACCTTAGCGCCTCTGATACAACTGTTGGTAAAGAGTAGGGCGGTACTAGACAAAATGTTACAATTACTGTTAAAAGACCCAGTAAAAGATATCTGACAATAATTATGAAAAAATCGAATTAATTAAATCAAAAGTGAAATTGCATGTTACGACGTGCAGATCTTTTGAGGGTTCCGTACCCAAAGGGTAAATACGGGACCTTATTACAAAGACTCCACTGTCTGTCCGTCTGTCTATCTGTCGCAGTTGAAAATTCACAGATGATGCATTTCTGTTGCCGCTATAACAGCAAATACCAAAAATAGAATAGAATTAATATTCAAGTGGGGCTCTCATACAACAAACGTTATTACGGCCGTTTTTGACTGATCGATCGACAATATCGATTAATATGTGCTATAAGCAGATGCTTGAAATATGCACAGAATATTAAAATTTAGTTCTATGTTTACATTAAAAATGAATAGTTAAATTGAAATGCAAAACCGGTGGTCCCCACTTAGCTCAACGTTAAAGTTAGTACCTTAAGTACGTCGAATCAAAATGAGTTCCTAGAATAAGATACCGAAAATCTAACAATAATTACTGTAAGTATCGACTGACGCGAGAAATAATTAATACCTACCCCATACAAATACCGCGCTCGGATAAACATCAAACAGCCCTAAATTGCGTTAATTTGTTCAGCGAGGCGAGAGAATATGCTTTGTAATTATTTCTTACTTTATAATTATAAGTTGTTGTTTATAAGTTTAAGCAGATTATTATTTATAAGTAAAAACTTAATTTATTCAACAATTTTTTTTCAGTATTTATTTAACATTAAAGTCAGCGTTAGTAGTAATTTTAACCATGTATGGATTATTAAAGAATAGGCTATTTGACAAGTTTTTGAAAAAGTTCATATGTCATTATAGTATTGTTTTGAGTTTGTATTGTATGTTGTATAGAGACTACATACTTAATGCTATTTTTTGAAAAAAGTTGCAGTACATTCTTTAAAAAGAAGATGCGTTTTCTCAGACGTATTTTTTGCTACGATTTTTACTACACAGCTGGAAAACTCTTAATAAAAACATTGTAAATTCATTAATCTCAATAGTTTCCTGTTTATTTCAATCATCATGAAACGCACTTTCTATAGGTATAACTATATCATAGTTCTAAGTTTTATACTTTTAAGAAAATCAAATCAGAGTTCCGAAACAGCAAGTGACCCGGTTTATTTGCAGTCCAGTGTATATTGTTACTGCCTCAAATAAATTATAAATCTTATTATATTTGCTTTTATTCATTTTAAAATATTTTCACCAGGCGTTGTACTATGACAATCTCCCGGCTATATTCTTCGGGAGCTTGGCCCTTGTCGCTAGCGTGTTGGTCTTCACTCTTCCGGAAACCATCAACATGCCTCTGCCAGACACGATAGAAGAGGCAGAAAGGCTATCTAGAAGAAAAGCTATGGGAGAAGACGCATAAGCCACGCTTCGCATTGGTACTAGGCACAGAGTCCTAATATTAGGGACCGCATATAAGAGCACCTGGTTGTGCTGTGATGCTATTTCTTTAGTTAGTCGGGTATAAAATCAAACCAGAGTTGTAACCAGGCCATACAATTATTTATTCAGTAAGGTACTGACAACCAAATAGACAATTAGTTTAAATTTACAAGTTCTATACATTTACAAAGTTGCCGTTAATGTTAAAAGACAATGAGTCCTTAAGAGAACTCAAGACTACCCTTGTATGACTAAATATGACTAATGTTAACAACTCAATAAATGATATCCTAATTAGAGTTCTGTTTCATTAATGTACTGACAAAAATAGACAATTAGTTTAAATTTGCAAATTCTATACATTTACAAAGTTGCAGTTAATGTTAAAAGACAATGAGTCCTTAAGAGAACTTAAGACTACCCTTGTATGACTAAATATGACGAATGTTAACAACTCAATAAATGATATCCTAATTAGAGTTCTGTTGGAGTCTGTTCCGAGACGATAGCGAGTGGATCTGAGTTTGAAAATCTGATTAGTGCTTAATTAGTAATTTATAATATATAAACTGAGGCAGCAGCTTTTCACAAGTATTGTCCGTCTGAATTCTGGCCGTACAAACTGTCAGCCGCTGCTTCCGAGGGTTAGTAAATGTACCTGAGTTCAGATTGTAGAGTACTGTAATAAGAAAGTTGTAGGATATCTAGTGGTGTAAGCTCAGCTAATTCTCTCTCCAAATCTCAGGCCACACCAGTGAGTATAGCTAATAATATCCGGACTTGTGACCTCGCCCTTGCACCAACAAATTAGCTTCTGGGGTTGCTAGCCCGTAACGGTGGACCCTGAAGTGGTACAATAATAACAATTTCAATAAATAGTACTACCAACGGCCCATTCCGCAATACAAACGCATGAAATTCTCTCAAGCGATACGAAATCTCAATTTTCGCCAAAACCAACTAATTCGCCAAATCCCAATGATCAATATCGTGCATATAGATTGACTGTGGTAAAGGAAGTAAACCAATTCTCCGATTTTAATGAAATTCGCCAATGTAAAATTTATAATTTGCACGAAGGTAAATTCAAATAGTCTGAGCAACGTACGCCTTTGCGTATTTCTCGTACCAGACTTAGACTATATAATTCAAGGCAAAACAATCATATACAAAACGAACCCAATTACGGCATTTACTTTTAAATTTAGACGATAAGAAAATAGTCGAACAACAGAATGATTTTATAATTACCTTTTCGGGCCAAATATAACAATTTATGATTATATTACTGGGATATCAATCCCTCCAGCATATCCTCCGAAAGACTTGCACTCCCTTCGAAAATATTATAGTAAAGTTATTCGGTTATTAATTCGATCTCTCTCGTAATATGAGCCAGTCCCACCAACTTCAATTCAAAAAATGTCCATGTCATCTCCCTCAATCTATCCGCGCTTGCTATTGGCCGACGGTTTGACAGTCCCGATCGTTTTTAATAACGGCAGACATAGGGATTGGCACTTATACAGCCATCGCTACAATTATAAAAGATGCCCTACTGCGGTCCGATTCTGAATCAAGATTTGTGGAAAATTTATCTCACCTTATTTCAAAATACAAATATGATCAATAAAGACCCAAAGCAAAGCCAATGACTACCCAAATATGATCTAGCGATCTTTCTTGTGACCATTAAAAATTAGCGACTGTAAACTAAAGAAATACCATGATAACATCAGAAATAAGACTGGTATGATATCAAACACATAAAACCAAGCAACTTTTGTCGCAACATTTTTATCTTATCATATAGGTATGATTTTTTTTTTTTATCACCTGGCCGAATTAAAAAATATGTATTAATAAATACTAATGTTACTGTCTGTCAATTATGACTTTGACAAGTGAAAATAACAATGTTACAGTGCAAAACTAATGCAGCAAAACTGAATAAGCGACACGCCCCCAAACGTAATACATAGTTTCACCTTTGTCATCCGACAGTTGGGTCTACCTTGTATCGCAGAACTTTAAATGTCTTATTATTATTATTCTCGAAAATCATTTGGCATTAACTCATTTAGCAGACATTCAAACGCATAATTTAGTGACACGGAATCCTCTTTAGGCATAAATTTAATATCCACAATAATAAAAATCAGTACCATCACATTGCCAAAGTTCACAGTCAGAATCGTCTTTTGGCATACCTACAAATATAAGATAAAGATAAGATAAATACTCTTTATTGCACAACACAGTAACAAAACAAATAGAAAAACACAACATTGCACAAAGGGCGGGCTTATCGCTAATGAGCGATTTCTTCCAGACAACCTAATGAGCTGAAAATAAAATAAGGTAAACGAGTAAGGGAGGTTGTACGGAATACAAGGCAAAAGTTTTCCTGATAATTACAAATACAATAAGAGAAATTTTAATATATAGGCAAACATAAATACTCAAATACTTCACAACGCTTTTATTTAACATTTCCTTGTTTAATTTAGTGGTGGTTGTGGCGTGCACTTCGCTAGCCACGTGTGTTGCAGAACTATTTTCTGTGGTTATGCCAAATGAATTTCGAAGCAACAAGATTCTGTCAGATAGAGGGAACCCCGCATGCGGCTTACCTCGCATGTCTAAGATGAGCCGGTTATTACAAAAATGATAACGCTGATTTTAGTGGGGGTGCTCTGTGCAGATTCAAATTATTTATGTTTTCACGTATAATGTAAGTAATTGCTCAAAGTATAATATAATTAATGTTTGACTGAGAAAATAGCTCACTAAAGGGGGAAATAGATTCATTTTCCCTCATTGTACCCTCCTGGCTTCCATTAGCTGTGTGTCTAATGTTTTTATATGTTTTTGTAATTTTATTTCCAACTAAAATATGGCTTTAATTTTTTTCTGTATACTGTATAATATTTCTATTTGATACCAAAGCTCGGTATTGTTCTATTTTAATTATTTTTCTTATGAAAGATATTTGTAAAATCATGACAAGACTTGCTCGCTAGATTGTACTTGTGCTATTTTGGCATCCTAATTCTAATATGATAAATATGCGAATGTGAGTTTGTTTGTTTGTAACTCAAACACGCTAAAACGGCTGAACGGGTTTGGATGAAATTTGGCACAAAAATATAGTTTATATCCTGGATTGCAAAAAAATTTGGGTTCCTGAGGGATTCTCAAAAAAATAAAGCAATCGCGGGAAATCGCTAGTTCTGCATATTATACTTAAGCTACCCACAGAAACTAAGTATAAATAGTGGGTGTTTTCTTTCCGACGTAATTATTAATATTATAAATTATGTAAGTTTAACTTTATATTCTGTATTCTACTTATTGTAACTGCGATTCAATGATTATGGACTGAGTTATGCTAAAGCATTACTTATTTCAGTACAAAACTCACAGAACATGATTTTTGTAAGCCTGATACCACGTAATTTTTTAGCAGCTTTTATTATAAAGTTATGTAAACAGCACCTACACTTCTAAGAATATTCTTTTCTTCGCAACTCGAGTTTGCTGTGATTCTTACATTCGTACAATGTTCTTAAAGTACACATTTATAATTGTTCTGAAACAATGGTTTTATTTTAGTCTAAGTTACATAAGTTGAAGGTTGTACCTAAAATACCTCGGCATAAAAATGTATCTTTGTATAATTTTTTGAAATACAACTTTTGCCTTTTTTAATTTTTTTCTTTTGTCGTTTTCTTGGGACCGAGGAGGGATGCTTGTTTTACTCAATTTACAGTAAAATAAATTATACCATTGCTATATACTGGTCATACCATACTATTTTTTTCTAAAAAGAAATAGTACCTGAATCCGAATTTACATTACGAAATTAGTGTCATGCATAATTTCGTGATGAGAATGAGAAAACATTACAAACTAATTTCGTGAAACTTGATGCAGTAGGTAGGAAATAGTACCTAAAGCCGAATTTATATTACGAAATTAGTGTCATACATAGGGATGCAAAGTCTTTTGAAATATCGATATTTATATCGAAGTCAGGCAAATATCGATATCCGATATATCGACCATTTTAACTCGATATTATCGATATATCGATATTTTTTTCTTTTTTTTGCTTTGTATTAAGTTTGCAAAGCAAAAGCCTAAAATTAAGGAAGCAAAGGTTTCCGAAATATCGATATTTATAATGTGGGCAGGTAAATATCGATATCCGATCAGATATGTCAGCCATTCCAACATTTCCAACACGATATTTTCTATATTTTTTATAGCGCTGTAAGAAGTATCAAATCAAAAGCAATTTCGAATCAAAGATATTTATTTTGTTTAAAATATTTGCACGCAGCCAAAATCAGAATAGATAATCATATGAAAAACAATTGTTATGAATTAGTAAAACCTACACATCAGGCTTCAGAATAGGGTAAGCCCAAAGCTTCCAAAATTACTATACCTATCTTACTTTCTTGACTTGGCGAGCTTAAAAAAATTACGATTTGTATAAGATTCTTAATTTTATTTTGTGTTATATTACAATGATATTAAATTTCAATTAATCAGTAGTTGACAATTATCTAGAAAGAGAGGCAAGGATTTTATTTAAGTGCATGAGTTACCATTAGGTATACGGTTATACCTATATACGTTGGTGTCGATTCTGGCATGATTATCTAAATTTAAAACTAAATTTAACATCAGTCTCTCCTTTTCATTCTGTATAGAGAATGACAAGGATACACTGTTGTCAAATTTAATTTTAGGTTTAGAGAAACATGCCAGAGTCCACACCAGTTTAGTATATTTCTTGGGGTTCAAGATATTTTTGATACATCTATAAGTTCTTGCAATTTCAAAGCAATAGTTATTTCGATATTATTCAATTTAGATAGTCATAGCAGGTAAATTAATTGATATTATTGTTTTCAAATTAAGTCTACTAAATATCGATATTTTGGAATTTCCGATATCGATATTATCGATATCA